TGAGAGTGAGAAATAGGGCTCAGAATAGGTTGGATTGGGTCCGGATGCACATATTCAAATTCGGATTCAAAAAGTAAACATGGAATTTAGATCTGGATCTGGATTTGCATCTAGACCCAATCGGATAAAGAATATTCGGATTCAAATCATGATCTAAATAGTATATACAAGATCTGGATCTAATCAGATCCAAATTTTCATTATATATATATATATGACGAGAAATAACAAATAATGCTCTATAACATATATGTATATATATGAAATAATATATAATATTTTAATAATTGAATTGGATCCACCTGTACCCGTATTAGATTTGAATTATTATTTGGATCCAATTTTTGGATTTGTATTCGACGCGTTGGATCCAAATCTTGGATCCACACTCAAATCCGTATAAGGTCTAAAATTTGGGTTTTAGATCGAACCGGATAAATTTTTACCCTAGAGTGATAGTCTTAAACTTATTTTCTTATAAAAGTTTAGAGTGAGAAATGGCCAAGTCATCTCTACTCATCATCCATAAATTCTTCCAACATCCAATTTACCATGCAAGTCAATCCAATTTACCATGCAAGTCAATGGATAACATATAGCTGGCAATCCAAGAAAACTTTAGTTATTCAAATTCAATGGCAATCCAAGAAAACTTTAGTTATTCAAATTCAATGGTCACCAGCTCATTATGGAATACTTCTTCAAATTCAAATTCATTGAAGCCATTTCTTCAGATTCAAATCCCACTCCTTTGATAGAATTACCATTACTTTATAAAATGGGAAATGCGAATTCCAAGGGGTTCAAATTCTGTAGGTATCATGATGTATGCTTTCCCCCGAGTAAATGTGTGTTTTCCATACTTAAAATGAGTCAAAAAAATTTAAAAGTAGGGATGCATCATTGCTTTTTTTATGGTAAAGATTCTCATTGGGTGGTTTTTCTTTTTCTTTATAAAAAAACACACATAAAAAGTCGTTGATTTGGGAGATTTTAGGATATTCAACTGATTTGAATGTAATTAAATTTCATTTTAAAGATTTGGTGTCCATGTTTTTAGATTTCCTCTCCTTTTTAGAACCATCAACCTCCATTTTATACAAATAAATCGGTATGGTGTGACTCTAGCCTCACTTAAAACCGGTATGAGAATTTTTTTTTATGGTTAAGGAGCTAGAAAGAAGGCAGAGCCAATGTGCAACTGAATTATGGTCAAGGCCCGACCTTGTCATAGGGTTTGGCTCTGGTGGGGCAAGCCATGGCTTGGGTACTCTTAGGCCGGGCAGTTTTTGGCCGAGCCTTGCCTGACTCGGGCTATGGTTCTAGGTTTTTGCAGCCGACTCGGCCTAAGCCTGATCCGTTGCGTGGCATATTAGGAAAGCTTCATATCCATTATCTTCAGTCCAAGTTCAAAAAATAATTTGTAGGTTGATTATATGTACAGCTTTTTAAAGCTCCATTTTTTTTATTTTTTTGGGGGATAGAAAATAAATTGGATACAGTTTATGTCGAAATGAGTCATCTCTTAAAATTCTATTTTAAGATGGAATTTTTTACATAATATTTAAGGACACGTAATCTCTAACATGGAGATCATGAATATAAAAAAATAAATATTTTTGAAATATTTAGAATAATAATTCTATTAATAAACAATTTGGACCGTGAGTTTTTAATTTCAACTGATTTTAGATGGACCACCTAAAAGTGGATGCTTTATACCTCGGAGACCTCAAATGTATAAATGCGACCTCAATACATTTAAAAACGAGGTTGAGGTGTCGCCCCCTAAAGACATTGATTAGAAAATGCTTTTACGGGTGTTTTCGCCAGTAATAGCTACTTCTCTATTGCATTTCAGCCGAGTACGTTGTAGACAACTAATTATCTTCTTGTACGAGGGAAGGGGGTATGAATCCTAATTTTTTCAGGAAATCACTAAGATAAACCCCCTCTCTAAACTTATAATATTAAATAACTCCTTAAATATTCCATAGAATCTCTCCATGAAAATAATGTTTAACCTCCTCATTACTTCTTTTTTTTTTTTTGACAATAGTAGGTACTTTTCATTACTTGAAAGTGAATTATTAGACATTGATCAAAACAAAACTCATGAACGAGTCCAATGAGGTACCTTTCTTCGACAAATCATCCCTAATCCCATTCGCCTCTCTATACACTGTTAAATCCAGTAAACACAAGGATCTAATACGCCAAGGTGGTCTCGACATCTTATTACATAAATTATATACATTGAGGGAGTCACTTTTAATAACCAGAATATCATGAAGGCACCTTTCCTTCCAAATTAAGACGCCTTGCACAAGAGAAGCAATCTCGGTATGATTGACAAATACAAAACCATGAGGACCGGCATAACAAAAAATAACTATACCCTCACTATCTCTATAAATATCACCCACTCCTGCCATCCTTGGGTTACGTAATGAATACCATCAAAATTCAATTTAAAACAATAGGCGGTCGCCAAATACTTTTTGGTCCAACCTTTATAAAACGAAGTGTGATGAGGTTTATCCTATTGAGCTAACTGGCAACTTTAGATGTCCCATTCTTTTTTTCTCAATTACCATGTTTTCTGGATCATAACAAAGTTATTCTCCTCTTTTTCTTTCTTCCTCGTCGGTGAACCTATTCCTCCATTTCCCTCTAGCAAATTACCTTAAATTCTTATCTCTCTCTCTTCTTGTGAACCTCACAAATACACAAAAAATGACATCACAAGTTTGATTTTTATGAGGTGGTTATTAGAAAGAATAATAAGGATAAATTTTGTAATTTGGATGATGAAAAAGACGAGAAGGTGGTTAAACATCATTTTCTATTTAGCTTAAAGGTATCAGGCTAGGGGTTTATTTGACATAATAATTTTGGGGAAGGAGGTATACATGTTTTTCCTTTCAAACTATCGTTTTAAAATCTAGTGATATAGATCGGAAATCAATCAAGATTTAATTGGTTCAAATAAGGTATTGGTACAGTCTCAATCCCTTCCCTAAACGCCCCATCTTATAAATCTGTTTTTTTGTTTCCTAAGTCTATCTAGTGTTTTTTTATTCCCCAAATACCCCGTTTATTTTTATTATTGGTTTTAATTTTTTTAATGGTTATTTTAGATCGCTTATTTGGATTGTTCCAGACTGATGCAGATAAAAAATTAAACTATCTAACATGGATCGTTGTGGTAGATGATCAACCCCATCAATATGGTTTTAAAACAAAAAAAATTATTTAATGAGACCGTTTATCTTTGGCACAAGGTGGTCACAGTTAACCATTAAATGTGAAATCAGTTGGTTATATTTATTCCATTGATCAAGCTTAAACTTCATAATAAAAATTCTCTAACTTTGTGACACACCAAAGCTATCAGATTTCACTTCGTATAGTTGCAAGTAATTGTAACCTCCTCATATCAAAAGTAAATGGTCTCACTCTATACAATCCTTAAAAACAAGGGTATGATTTGTATAGAGCCGAGGCTCTAAACCACCAAAATAAAACGCATATTCAAATAGTGTCAAGAAATGTGGTTTTTATACTGAAAATCTTTGTGATAGCCTTAAAATATATTTTCATATTTAATTATAAAATTTAAAGCTTTAAAAATAAGGTAGAACGAGCAAATATATGAAAATCTTGAAAATTAATGATTACAAATGCATTGTTTCTAAAACTTGAAATCCATTTTCTTCTCGTGTCCATGTATCTTTTTATCGGGATGATCAATTTTGGGATATTTGAGCATAAAAACAACCTCTTCTAGTGAAATTTTTTAGGTGGGTTCTAATTTATTTGTTTAGAGCCTCGGCTCTATATAAACTTTTTCCTTAAAACAATGGATATATGAGCGTTATATTCTTTGCAAATGAACAACCTTTGTTTAGTAAAGGCATTTGCTTTGTCTGTAAAGCCCATTGCTAAACCAAATGGGAAGGGAATGAAAGACAACAAATATATTTTGTATAATAATAATAATTACGATGATGATGAAAGGAATAGATGCATCGGATTAGAGCTCAATTCGATCTATAGAAAAAGATACAACAATATGCGCTTTCAAAAATTGGACATTGAGCATGAATATAAAATATAAAAGATTACTTTTTAATTGGGATAGTGTGCTACGAGACATTTTAATTGCTATTAACAATTAGATTTGAAATTGGATGACTTGGAGTATGTTAAATAGTTTAGTCAATGACACATTCACAATCACTCAATTTAGAATTTGACAGATAAGAGTGGAAATAATCTTATTGTATTAAAATGAAGGGATTGTTTATAAATAGATCATCAATCTTTTGGACATGGAGGTCGCAATCATTATTGTTCCTTAATTTTCAAAATGGAAGAGTGTCATTTAACAGATACAAAGTTCTAAAACAAAATTTATTGGATTTCGTGGCTCTCTCCAAGCTATTCTATTCGATATCTAATGTGTGGGAAAGATGATGACCTCTATGTACAAAAGATAAATGGTTCCTTTGTAGATAATCGTTAAAATTAAGTAGTCATTTCGTACGCTTCTACTTTTTAATTTTGATAACAAATTTTTTTTTCCACATATTTCTCAATTTAACCCATTTCCAACAAAATTTCCAATTAAATATGACTTTTATTTATCTAGTTTTCTATTTTAAATATTTATAGTATATTTTATTTTAACAGTTTGAATTCTTTTTTGGATTGTATACCTTTCACAATTTTGTAGAAATTTTATTACCGTGAGGTGAATTGTTTAATATTTAAACCATATCTTTTAATTTAATTTCAAAGTACTTATAAAATACACACGGCCGCAAATTGAAATAGTTGAAAAAATATAATATTAAAAGCTTAATAAGTTAAACTATTTTAATAAATTTTATATTTTCTTTTATTCTGTTAATTTATTTTCATCTTTTAAGACGCGTTTGGTTTGAGTGAAAACATGAGATTGTTCACGAATATACCATTCATCATTGGGTCACAATCATCCCCACTCATTAGATCTCAAATTTGATGGTTTAGGGCAAGTCGTGAAGTGAGAAATTTTCTTTTTTTAGAACTTTGTGTCTATTCAATAACATTATTACAACTATTCAAAGGGATTATAATGATTGTGACATCAATGTACAAAAATAAAAGAAAAATAATTATATAAAATTTGTGTCTATTCAATAACATTTTTACAACCACCCAAATGGGACTATAATGATGGTGACCTCCATGTACAAAAAATATAGGGACTCCAAACAATCAAATACGAACTTACTTCAAAATTCTCGCTATAAGTGGTTGTTTTGATGCACAAATATCTTAAAATTGATCATCTCGACATCAAGATGCATGGACACAAGAGAAAAATGGATTTCAAGTTTTGGAAACAATGTACTTTGCAACGCATTTTTGGACCGTCAATTTTCAAGATTATCAAGTTCTCATAGATATGTTGATCTACACTATTTTTGAAGCTTTAAACTTTATAAATAAAGATGAAAATATATTTGAAGGCAATCACATAGAATTTCAGTATTGAAACCACGTTTCTCAAAACTATTTGAAAGTAGGCTCTAATTTGATGGTTCAGCTCCTATGCTCTATACAAACCGCACCCAAAGATAAATAATCTATTGGTAAACAATCATTGAAAATATTTACATCCATTGTGTAGATAGGCGCAATAACATTTCCACTCCAATCAACTGCCTATAGAAAAGATGCTACAAGATAAATTGGTGCGAAAATATTTTCATACATATAATCACATGATAAAAGTTTTCCACATGAAAACATTTTTATGTGAAACAAACGCGTTTCTCGCACGTACAAAGCACGTACCTAACCAGCAGTATTAAAGTCAAGGGTAAAATCGTCATACTCTCAGTAACTTAGGGGCGTTATGGTAATCATTTCACATTCCCGCCAAAATCTCCCGCCAGAACTTGCCCTAGCCCCAGCCCATCAATAGAGAAAGGAAACATGCTGCTCACTGAACTCACATCATAATCCCTGAAAAGAAAGCCGAGAAGAAGAGAAAATGGCGAGCCCTAGAAGGAGATCGGGAGCTCAGAATTCCAATGGAGCACGAAGCCCTAACCCTAGTGGAAATGGAAACCCTCGAAGCATGGTAACTACGATCCATTTCTCTGCTGCATGTTTCTTGCAGGGATTTGTGTTTCTGAACTTTTTCCGCCATTTTCCGGTCATTTTATGGCCATATTTTCAGGATTCCGATGACCCATCAACCCCTGCCTCTCCGACCTCTGCTGGATTTAGCACCGACAGGTTGCCACCAAATACAAGCAGGACTTCTCAGTCGCTTTCGGATGAAGCAGCAGTTGATCCTGCGATCATTAGAGATGAAGAAGAGGAAGGGATGGGAGAAGAAGAAGAAGAGGAAGGCGAGGATCTCTACACTGATAATTTTTTTGAGTAAGTGAAATCTTTGCTTCTCTCTCATTCTATCAAATGAATACTATGATTAACTTCTCAAATATTTCGCTTTAATGTTTACATTCCTGGATTTTAGTGTTTTCTGTGAACTTATGGTTTGTGGTTGAAAGGTTTTTATCTGCATTTTTTGCATTCTTTTGTGGAGTTATATTTTTTTTGTATTTTCACAGTCCTTCTTTTCAATTTTCAATGATTTATAGATTTTAGGTTTCTCTTGTTACATTTAAAAAATATATATTATATTATTCTCCATTTCTTTTGTGAAATTTTTGTGGAGTCTAATATTTTTGTGTTAAGGAGTCTATTACTTTTGTGATAATTTGTCCACTTATTGTACCTTTCCATGCAGTGATTATCGTCCCATGGAAGAGCAAGATCGATACGAATCAGCTGGATTAGATGATTCCGTGGGGGATGAGAGGGATCTGGATCAAATCATGGAGGACAGAAGAGCAGCAGAAGTTGAGTTAGATGCAAGAGATGGAACCAGATTTGACAGGAAGCTCCCAAGGCTTCTCCATGATCAAGGTAAACAGCGCTATCTCACTGATGCTCCACATGCTCTTCATGGTCATATGAGAGAGCCAATTTTTCCTTTTGCAATCTTTCGGATATCATGTCTCTATGTCTCTATATGGTGAAAGGCTATCGTTTGTGCTGATCTCTTGGCTTAACCTTGTTGGAAACTTAGCTTTCGGTTCCTTGGGTTATTCGTTGCTAACTTAGGCAACCCTGATTCTGTAATGTTTGCTTGGGCCTTCATTGGCTTATGCAGAAAAAGAGACCCATTTATGATTGCTGCTTGCATTCTCTATTGGATATATCAAGATGGTTAAAGTGTATATTCTAGAAATTATATTTGTTTTATTTTAGTTTATTTTTAGTGATGTAGTGAGGTTATATTTGTAATTTTGTGTATTAGGAAGTTATGGAACTACTCGTGGTGAGTAGCTATTGCTGTAAATAGGTAGTTATTGTTGTAGGTGGGTATTTATTGTAGTAAATATTGTTGTAAGAATGTGTTGTGGGAAATTGGGTCACATGTATCAAGTTTGTAATGTTTTTATGTACACTATTTTTCCCATTTTTCATCATTGAATGAATTGTTTTTTCTTCTACCTCATCTTGATTGTTCTTCTTTTATCTCTTTGGCGGTGAGTCTCTAGCTAGTGTGACATTATTACACTAATTGAGAAGCGGATTGTTCCGCTATTGTGGCATCCGTCTTTCTTCACATGGTATTAGAGCCACAAGGGTGGTGGTGATATTGTATTGACTCTTTTGGTGAAGTAGATTGATTGTTTTTTTGAAGGTGGATTCAGGTGTAAGGTCAAATGGTTTTACTATTGAGTTTCAGAACTCAATTCAAGGCGATCTTTCTATTTCTCAATTCTTGTTAAAGATCAAGTATCTTTGTTCAAAGATTTATCCTGGAAGAACCTATTTCACTAATTAAGAAGTGGATTGTTTCGGTATTGTGGTCTTTCTCCACAGGATGTGATAGGATCCTGGACTGTTGTGATCCTTTAGCTTTACGGTGACCAATGTGGAGCCGTAGTTTGTTTTGTTGAGTTATTGTTCTTTTTTATCTTAATTGATTGACTACTTAATGTATATTATCTTGGAAATGTCTGCTCAAGATCTGGAAGTGGGGGCATTTGCATTGTTCTCGTAGCGGAAGTCGTGTAAATTGATTTATGTGAATTGGGGTAGGTGAAATGTTTGAACAGGAAGTCATAGTTTGCAACCAGTAGATATCCATTTAACAATCCTGCTACAAGATATGTAAAATATACCCAAAAAGCCAGCCATTTCAGGGACTTGTTAGAGTCTTCAAACATTGGTATGGATAAATTTTCTTGTGCTTCATTCTGAAACTCCTAGATAGATGAAATGAAAATTCAAGCACTTCACCCATTAAGTAGCTATTTCAAAATCTATATCAGATGAAGAACCACTTTGTGATCCTGATTTTAGGCTGCCTAACTAATTAGAAAAGGGAAAGATGGCCACTAAAAGACGAGATAAAGGATGTAAATATAATTGTCTCCATTGAGTCTTGGGTCACTATCCTTATATCATGTCAAATGGAAATATTTAGACCAGCTGAGATTTTTTTATTTTTTACTTCTATTTTTTTAAATCATTCACGGATATTACACCAATTGATTCTTCACCTCCTCTTCTGGTGACCATCTTTCCATTTTTAGTTGGTTAGGCCGCCTAAAATCCAGACCGAATAGTAGTGCTTGATCTGATTTGGGTGCATAAGCAAAGTCTCACTAGAAACTTAACAGGGCTCTGCATATCACTCTATGAATAAGCTATGATACTACAAATGCAAAGTCCCAACCTTCTTAAACTGAAACGTAATGCTATAGCCTCCCACTATTCCTATAACTACGTTTAAACTGATCTCAATTTAAAATTAGGAGGAAACAGTTCTTATTTCCGTTAATTGAATGTTTGCACTCTGAATGGGTCATCTATTTGATTCCAAATGCATTCTTAACCTGATCATTTTCTTTCTCCGAAAGAATTTTTGACAGTGGTCACGAATTTCCATAGGCATTCTACTTTTCTTAACCCTTGTATTTGTTTGCAGCCTGAAATGATATGCCTTTAGACTCCTGAATTTTTATAGCTCGAGTTTTATGATGAGTGAAACAAAAGGTTCATCCCCCATGAATTTTGGTCGCAGACACCGATGATGACATTGATTACAGGCCGAAAAGGTCTAGAGTTGATTACAGGCGACCCAGAGGAGGAATGAGTTATGAAGATGTCGACGGGGCAACACCAATCTCACCCGGTGGAGGAGGATCACATGGAGGTTACCATGGAGGTGAGCCACCCACTACCGATCAAACAGAAGATGAGGTCAGAATACTACACTTTATTACCGTGGTTTCTTATGCAAACTTTTTACTTCTTTTGCTTCTTATGAAGCTTGATTGCAGTTGCATCTACATTGATGGCTTTTTAATTGGGTTGGCTAAACAATAATATTTTTGATTGGTGTGTTTGTTAATTTTACTAGGATGAAGATGATGATGCAGAGTATGGAATATACCGTGTCCAAGGAACTCTGAGAGAGTGGGTTACAAGAGATGAAGTACGTCGTGTCATTGCAAAGAAATTCAAGGAGTTCTTGCTCACCTATGTAAATCCAAAGAATGGAAATGGGGAGCATGAATACGTTCGCCTGATAAATGAAATGGTTGCAGGTGATAATTTCTTATTCCTGATTCCTCGTACTATGGTATGTATGTGTGAAATGATATCAGATATTTGCACTTTGTGTGCATTTAATGAATTCTCTTTTGTGGAAGCCCCTGAATTGAAGATTTCACAAGCTACATTGCATTTATTTTTCTTGGATATTTATTTTCCAGCCTTTCAAAAAATGAAGTTTGCATTTTCCAGAATTTGTATGATTTGTAAATCAGAGGATTTTTCTTTTCTTTGGATATTCTCAAGAAATTCTTATTTTGGGCATTTTTTTTTTACTGTCGTTTGAAATTTTTTTTACAGCTAATGGGTGTAGTTTGGAGATTGATTATAAACAATTCATATTTGTTCATCCAAATATTGCTATCTGGCTGGCTGATGCACCTCAGCCGGTGCTTGAAGTCATGGAAGAGGTGGCACAAAGTGTGGTTTTGGATCTTCATAAGAACTACAAGAACATCTGTCAGCGGATTTATGTGAGAGTAACCAATTTACCAATTTATGATCAGATAAGAAATATTAGGTAAGGCAAATTTTCTGTTCTTTATTCTTTGTAATGGTGACACGGGAAAGTGTACTTCAATCCAATGGGTTCATCACTAGCCAATAAAGTGATGAGGAGTGGGACCCTTGTTGTGGTCATGTCTTGTTAATGTAAGTGTCATGCTCTCTCCATCACTGTCCATCATTTCATTGGATGGTGACCCCAATGGAGTATGGTTTTGCATAATTCATTGCATGGTACCATTCCTTCCTAGATTCCTATTACATAAATGTAGTTTGCCTTATATGCCTTCTTTCACTGATATCAGGCAGATCCATCTGAACACCATGATTCGCATTGGAGGGGTTGTGACCAGGCGATCTGGGGTTTTCCCTCAATTACAACAAGTGAAATATGATTGTAACAAATGTGGAATGATCCTTGGGCCTTTCTTCCAGAACTCCTATTCAGAAGTTAAAGTGGGTTCCTGCCCTGAATGCCAATCTAAAGGGCCTTTCACTGTCAATATTGAGCAGGTGGGTGTGTTCCTTTTTCTTTCATTTTTTTATTTTTATGAATTTACTTTTGGTAGTTTGGCTAGTGGGTTTGTTAGACATTTCCTTGTGCTTGTGTGAGTAATTGAAATGTAGAGATTTGTTAGTTGATCCAATAGCCGCCTTTATTTGCCAGACAATTTACAGGAACTACCAGAAAATGACCCTCCAGGAAAGTCCAGGAATTGTGCCTGCTGGTCGGCTTCCACGGTGCAAGGAAGTTATTCTATTGAATGACTTGATTGATTGTGCACGCCCTGGAGAAGAAATTGTGAGTTCTATGCAAAGAAACAAAAAAATATACAGTAGCCTAATGTACTGCCAACACCCATAATCCATTGGGATTGTTGCAGTCCAATGAAATGATGTGTGTTGAAAGAAAGAGCATGGGACTCAACATGTTCTTTTCTTATCATTCTGCAATCTCTCCATCAGAGTTTCATTGGATATTGATGCCCCTAGTGGACTCTGTTTTCTATAGTCTATTGGAGTATGGTATAATTTCCCACGTGGAGCATGAAATTTGAATCCTTTTCCTTTTTCCCCATATGATAGTGCTGAACATATTTTTTGAAGTTACAAAATGAATGAAGATAATAATAGTGTGCCACCTGGATTGTTGTTTTGAATTTAATTTATGTATCGTGTGACTTTGTTCAGGAGGTTACAGGCATATATACAAATAACTTTGACTTCTCACTCAATACAAAGAATGGGTTTCCAGTCTTTGCAACAGTAGTTGAAGCAAACTATGTCACAAAAAAGCAGGACCTCTTCTCTGCTTATAAGCTCACTGATGATGATAAGATAGAAATTGAGAGGTTGGCTAAGGACCCACGCATAGGAGAAAGGGTTAGTTGAGATTGGAGTTCTGTCTATTTTTAATTGCGGTGAGCTAATTCTCATCCACTTCTCTACTAATGTCCCCATCTCTGTTCCTACAGATTATCAAGTCTATAGCTCCATCCATTTATGGACATGAAGACATAAAGACTGCAATTGCTCTTGCAATGTTTGGAGGCCAAGAAAAGAATGTGAAAGGAAAGCACCGCCTCAGAGGAGACATAAATGTTCTCCTGCTTGGTGATCCTGGCACAGCCAAATCGCAATTTCTCAAGTAAGCTTATTTCATATGCACAAAATTCTCATTATATTCTACAGAAGTTCAGTTTTAGTTATTTTATTTTATTTTATTTCTTTTGGTCGATTTGTCTTGTTGCTCTTTTTATCTCTCAGCGAATCATCATCAATGATAAAAGAAATCCATAAACAAGTAGGAAAAGAGTTCTTTTGGGTCTAGAACACATGATGTTTGTGCCTTATTCGTTTTTGGCTCGAATCTATGATTTTTGTAATTTACTTTCTCCATAGGTATGTTGAAAAAACGGGGCAAAGGGCTGTTTATACTACTGGTAAAGGAGCTTCAGCTGTTGGGCTTACAGCTGCAGTGCACAAGGATCCTGTCACTAGAGAGTGGACTCTTGAAGGTGGAGCCCTTGTCTTAGCCGATAGAGGTATCTGCTTGATTGATGAGTTTGACAAGATGAATGACCAGGATAGGTATTTAATCTTGGCCTTGGATTTATTTTCTTCTTCATCCTTGATAAACTAAAAGCATAGGTATCGTATTCTCCATTTTCTGACTTTTTGCCATAAGTCTAATTTGTTTTGAAGTAAGAGAAACTCTATAATTTATATTTGTTGGTGTTGTCTAAATATCTTGAGCTTGTCACATCATCTCAAATGGTTATGTATCTGTGCTGTTGGCCTCTTCTTCAAATTGTTCTCTAAATATGACTAGAGTGCCTTAATTAAATTAAATACAAAATTGCACAATTGTTCTCAATATAAAACCTCTGATGGTGAAACTTCTGGCCTACATAGATCTTCTTTTACCCCATAGTTTTTCATGATCTTTTCTGGAATAACCAAAGTGACCAATATGATCAAAATGCCATGGCTGTTTTTTGTGCGACTCTGGTGCAATTGATGTTTGTGTAAAACTTTTGTCCTGCCAGATCTGAAAAGCATGCACAGATGGATGATCTGTAAACTACAACAAATGTACTTGGTCTCTTTTTTCGTGTAATATTTGTGGGGTTGTATGTGAGTGGGGTTGGTCGTGGGGTTTTGGATGTGCTTGGCTTCACGTCACTTTCCACTACTGCGTTTTGGAACTCTACTCTTATTCTTTTCTGTAGCCCCATGCAAGCAAATAATCTTTGTGTATCCAACTTATGGAGTTTCTTCACTAACCATGTCTTTAGGGTGAGTATCCATGAAGCGATGGAACAACAGAGCATTAGTATATCTAAGGCTGGAATTGTGACATCACTACAAGCACGGTGCTCTGTTATTGCAGCAGCTAATCCAATTGGAGGAAGGTTAGTTCAACAAATACCACCAATATTTTGTGATTGCTTTTGCAGGCTTTCCATTATACCTTCTTCCTTGGGTCTTAAGAATAGTGCTTTGTAAACAGATACGACTCATCAAAGACTTTTGTTCAAAATGTGGAGCTGACGGATCCGATCCTGTCTCGATTTGATATCCTTTGTGTTGTTAAGGTTGTTACTTGTTTTATTCACCCCCCAAAAAGTTGAGAATAAGTTTGGGTTCTGAGGTATATGAAAATGCTTCTTATGGTGTCAATATCTGTTACAGGATGTAGTTGATGAAGTTACAGATGAAATGCTTGCCAGATTTGTTGTAGATAGCCATGCCAAGTCTCAACCCAAAGGAACCATTCTGGAAGACCAGCCTAGAAATCCCAACCCAAATGATTCCGTCGAAAAAGATTTTCAGCCCCCAGTGGATCCTGAGGTTCAAAATTCAACAATCTTATTTAGTTCTTTGTTCATTCTTATTTTTCCTTTTCAGATACCTAACAAAGGCATAATTTTATCAGATATTATCTCAAGATATGCTCAGGAAGTACATAACATATGCAAAGTTAAATGTCTTTCCCAAGTTGCATGATTCTGATATGGACAAACTCACACATGTTTATGCTGAATTGCGTCGAGAGTCTTCTGTGAGTTTCTGTGTATTTTTTAGCCTCTCTCTCGCTCTCTCTCTCTAAATTGTTTCTGTTATCACCCCCACTCTCTCACTGGGGCTGCTATGTCGTTCTAGCATAGTATGTGTAATCTTATTTTCCACATTCTCATGCCATTGTTCTAATTTTTGAAATTTACCATCAGCATGGTCAAGGAGTTCCAATTGCAGTAAGGCATATTGAGTCGATGATAAGGACGTCTGAAGCCCATGCTAGAATGCATCTGAGGAGTTATGTATCAGAGGAGGATGTTGATATGGCTATCCGGGTCCTGCTTGACTCGTTTATCTCAACACAAAAGTTTGGTGTTCAAAAGGCTTTGCAGAAGGTTAATTAGCTAATAGTCCCGTCTTTTGAATAATTATTGTATTTCTATGGGTCATGTACTCATTGATTAGGATTTATAAGAGTTATTTCAATTTTTTTTGTAGAGATTTAAGAAGTATATGACATTCAAGAAGGATTACAATGAACTGCTCCTGCATCTTCTGCGGGGCATTGTGAAAGAGGTGTTGGAATTCCTACAATTCATGTCGAGAACGGCGGGCTGCCTACACATGTTGAAGTGAAAGTTGAGGATCTCAGGAATAAGGTAAAATTATCTCAGAAATTTGATAATTGGGCATATTATTCCTGTCTTGTGTGTGATTGCTGTCTAAGTAGTATAAACATGCACATGGAATTATGTAATAAACTATCATTGTATGGTTATCTTGACAGTATTCTCAAGATATTTCTTCAAATATAAACAATATATTATTTGAGCAAGGATTATACAATAAGGTTCTTTATCTATGGTACAAAAAATGTCACAATCACTCCTAGCTATCAAATATAGAATTGTGCAGTTGAGGCTTTACTGTTGAGTACTCCATCTTGGAAAATATGTTCTGATTTTATGTGGACCGCCAGCCGATTCACATCCCTCGTCTAGTGGTAATTGTGACCTTTTTGTACCGAAGGTCAATGTATGGTATGCAGCCCCTAATTATAATTTACCAATGTTAATGAAGATTTTGACAACATTTAAGGAAGCATATATCCTATGGCATCAATCCTTATGGAGCATTAACTTTATTTTATAAACTGAGGCCGAATAGTCTTATATATTTTGTTATACAGGCACAAGAATATGAAATATATGATTTGAAGCCCTTCTTCACCAGCAACCAGTTTTCGAGAGCCAATTTTGAGCTGGATGAAGAGCATGGGTTGATTAGGCATCCCGTTGCTGTCTGATATGTCGCTTTTTTTCTTGTATATAGCATGGTTTTCCATGAAGAGTTATTTATGTTTGAGGCAATTAGAAGTTGAGTAATTTAGCTTTTTAGTGGGCACAATGTGCATTCCACTGAACCTATAAACAATGGGAATAGTAAGATCATAGTGCTTAACGCAAGCAGCATTTGCTGCCACTGGCATTCCTGCTAGGAATTAGGATCTTACTACCATAAACATCTGTAACTTCTAACACTGAGGAATTAGGATCTTAATATCATAACCCTTTGGCACTTTGAGTTGGACTGCATGTAGGAGCTCTTGTTTTCTTTTTTCCCCAAAACTTGGTCCGACATTCGAGTTATAATGAAAAAGATGTGGTCTGGTACTAGTAGTACTGGCTCGAGTCTTTTCTATTTTATGCTGGTCTGGATTCACTTGAATGAAAAAAAATGAAGTCTAGTGAGACCTGTTTGGGGTAAAAAAAGTTGGTAAAGGCTGGTTTGGCATTCAAAGTGCCAGACCGACATGATATGGAGTTTGTCCGGTCCTTCAGGTGCAGGGTGGGGCTATTGTGGAAAAAAAAAATTGACAAAAAGGAAACCCTGCATACAATATGAAAAATTGTCATATTTTTTAATTTTGGAAAACTTAAAAACTGGGAGTGGGACCCACCATGATAAACTTATTTTGGTGATGGCTAGGGGAAATGGTTCTTTGTATTGCCCAGGATTACGTATCGGAGAGCCTTTTCCAATCAATATTTTTATAGTTCAGTGAGATTTTCATGCACGATACATGTATATCACCAAGATGCATTTTGGTGGAATATATATATTTTTTAAAAGAAAATGGTTTGATAGGGCAGCCCTTTCAAAATAAGTAAAGCTTCACCTTATAATTCATTGAAAATTATAATTCAAGCATTGAAAAACTTTTACATTGATTATCTTAGCTTGAAGATATTTAGTTGTGAAAAAAAATTAGGATTTTAAGCTCTAAAAATTGTGTATATTGTATTTTATTTTATTTTTGTAAAGCTTAAGCCTTATAGAAACTTATTTGTTTTTTAAAAGTCAATTGTTTTCCGGTTAGGATAGGTCAATTCTTGAGGCACACATCGGTAAAATCAATTTTCATTTTTGTAATTTGTACTCAGGAAGTAAAAATTAGATGGGCCATGAAGGGTACAAATATGAGAGACAGATCAGATGGGCTATGAAGGGTATAAACAAGAGAAACGGATTGGCCGTTGGTATTTGGTAAATGTTCTTGATTTTTTCCAGAGAGATCAACAAAATTATCCTGTGTTTATAAATATATAGAATGGCCTTGACATTGCACACATTATTATCGTATGGAAAAAGTTTGTTTATTTAAGTGTAAAGCTCTAAACAATTAAGTTTGTTTATATAAGTTTAAGGCTCTGAACAATCAAATTAAGACGCATATCAAAAATTTCACTAGAGGTTTTGATGCTCAAATATCCTCAAATTGATCATCTCAACCTCAAGATACATAAACATAAAAATAGATTTCAAGTTTAAAAAATAGTGCGTCTTATAATACAATTTTTGCCGTTAATTTTCCAATGTTCATAAATCTGTATGATCCACTATTTTTGAAGCTTTAAATTTTATAATTAGAAATGAAAATATATTTTAAAGCTATTACAAAGATTTCCAACATTGAAACCATGTTTTCAACACTATTTGGAGATACATTTTAGTTTGATTGTTTAGAGCCTCGACTCTACGAACCGCACCCTTTTAATATTCACATTTCTTCTGCCTATGCTTTCTCTTTTTATAGCTTTACATATGTCACTACGGATTTTTTTCATGAATGAGAACACGTTTTTACCATGTGAATCTCCCTATGTTAGAACTTTAAAAATTATCTGGTGCAACTTACCACATTTATTCAAGGCTTCATTTCTAATTTCAACTAGGCAGCCCATGGCCCGAGCCTAGAACAACGGTCCAAAGGACACCCAGCAATTTTTCAAAAACTGACAAGAACATAGTTTCAATAGTAATGGCCCAAGATTCATAAATGTAACGCAAGTATCATCCTGTCTTTATGCCAAGACCCATGGATGCATGTGTCCATCTTACAAGATCCACTGCCCTCAAACTGCCGTGATCAAATGTCTAAAATATGCCAAAAATATTGAACACTGCAAGCTCACATAAATTATAATTCCATCACCTATACCCATTTGATTAATTAGTGCAGGAAAAAGAGAGACGTTATATCCCCACCCCCCAAACAAAAAGGACATCTTTTCCATCCCCAAACTCCACCAATTAATGGAGGAATACTGAGAAACCCACATTTCTCCAGTAAAACTTCCCTCCATTTCAATTCCAAAGCCCTTCCAGCCTACTCATAATTATCAACTTGCTTACGAGCAAAAGGGCTCCCATTCCGCAGTGTAAATCTTTCAACCCCATCTCCACAATTTCTCTACTTTTTCTCGGAAAACTTGTTAAGTCAGTTTTAAGCTCTTTGGAAAATCCATCACCTTACCATTTTTGAGCAATTACAACATGGATAACCAATATTTTCAGTTTCAGGCCTCTACAGCTGCACTGATCGATTCCTCCTCAGTTCCATCTGAGGAAGCTACTCTTTCTTCGGGTTTGCAGCCCATATCATGTGGCCAACTTTCAGCAGGGGACACACCCTCTTGTGAAGTGGGCTCCTCACTCTCTTCATCATGTTCATGCTGCAACAATTTTTCTTTCAGCTTAGTGCAGAGGTCTTCGCTAACATCCAAGTTTTCTCTAAGATAAGTTTTTATGGCGTCTTTTCCATGAAAAGTTTGGCCATTTAGGCGGAAGAAGCTTCCTGCTTTGGTGATGAAGCGATGCTTACAACCCAAATCCAATATCTCGGCATCTCGAGAGATCCCTTTGCCAAATTCGAGCTCAAACTCTGCGGTCTTGAATGGTGGTGCGTGCTTGTTTTTCACCACTTTTACAAGCACTTGGCTTCCTATAATCTGCCAAAGAACCAAGCAAAGCATCACAAATTAGTACCACCAAACTCTTAAATCGTGACTAAATATCTCCTTTAAAGAAAAAAAATCTCTCTATTTGAGATTGTAATTTTCAAAAGACAGTCTTACCTTCAACTTTCATAAGATCTTGAAAAGTCCATCCATGGTGCCTTTTTTTTTTGTGTGTGTAGATAGATAAGAGTTTCTTATGATAGCTTTGAAAGATACTCCAGAATGTAAACAAGATTTTAATTTTCCATAGCAATTCCATAAAAGAGTTAAATTCTAACATCTCTACAGAAATTTTTGTGAACAAAATTTGCAATCATGCTCAAAGAAAAGTGTACGTGATATTCAATAAAAAGATTTGAGAATTAGACTCAATTAATGGGAAAGGCAGCATAGAATCCCTGCAATATCTCTTAGCAAAATTTCAACCACCCATTCCTGCCAAGGAGTTGCCAAAGGAGTTACTGGCAAAATTGGGCATGAAAACCGCCAATGTTGAATGAGTCCACAATCATTTTCTATTCAATCAGGAAATCCTCTACTTCAACAAGTTCATCATCTCTAACAAGGGCTCATGCATCCTAATATGTCCTTCCATCACAGGCCGCCTCATTGTCAGGCCTCTAAATATTATACTCTTTCTTTACCTCCAATAGCTCCCAAAAACAGCCAAGATACACCTTCACAAGAAACGGTCCTCCTCTAAAAGGGACCCAAAGTCCATAATACCATAAACTAATGATAACAAATGGAAGTTTAAAACGTAAACTACTAGACCATCACTTCTGCAGTTCCAAACATAACTTACTCCCCTTTTGGTACCCAACTAACAGAAGCCAACCACCTAAAGGTTCCCACATTAAAGGAGAGTGAAGTTTCCATATTACATACTCCCAAAAAAATATGACACCTAGAACCACAGATGATGCAAATTTCCATATTACACCAAACAAAAAAGAAACTCTAAACGGTAAAGCATAGTGAACTCTTCCATATTACATGCATCCAATTAAATTTTAAACCTTGCACCAAATATGGCTTTCTATGACTTAGCTGAGAATACTTCACTTTACTCTGAGATCCATCCTCATTTTCTTCAACCCCCTAGTGGTGATGAAGGCTCCCTCTATCAGTGCAAAACATTTCCAACTCCTGCCTTAATAGAACTGAAACCTTATTCAGAACATGAAAACAAACGAAGAACTTCCCTTGGCCTAATGGTTTGGGAGTATTCATGACCCATGATCGAAATTTGAAATCCAGTAGAAACATTCAAAAAGAAAACGAACTTGAATACAACAAGGACCAGGTATAGTCTATCAGAAATGATAAACTAATTTGAAGTTGCCAAACAAGATACAATATCTACACAAAAACCAAGTTGTTGAGTGTATGTGACACCAAGTGTTGATTGCCATGAAATGTACTCAAGAAGCTACAAAAGAAAGATTGAATAGTAATTTAAAGATGCTAATATGAAGGAAAAGACAAAAAGAAGAAGAGTAATTCAGATATAAACACTCCATAACTGAGAGCAGTCATCTACAACATTCCATTCTACAGCTAGACAAATTCTGCGACCATTAAATGACGACACCATGACACAATGATACATATCAGCAACATGATGTGCAATCAATTACTAATCAACAAAAAATAAACGGCACACAAGGTTTGAGCATGACCTCTTCTCCCTTTTTAATAAAGCCGATTCTTTTAATATTTAGGCGGACAGATGCATAGAACTTCAAGGCATTACCCCCTGAAGTAACTTCAGTAGGTCCTCCAAATCCGCCAAATGTGCTCAACTTTGCACGAACCTAAATAGCACATAGGGTAAGCCAAGATACTCAATTAGATGTTTATGACAAAATTGCTCATGAGCAAGATAACTATGATTTTTACCTGATTTATAAATATCAATATAGTCTGGGAGCGAGACAAGGAATGGCTCAACTTTCGAAGGGCCTGGCTCATCAATCTGGCCTGCACTGCCATATGCGCATCGCCCATTTCGCCTTCTAGTTCACTTTTGGGGACAAGAGCAGCAACCTGCATTCAGAAGTGGTCATTAACAAAGTCAAAGTTTCCATATCGCACAAGTATCTGATTCTTTCAGAAGTTTTGGTTAATCAAGATATCTAAATAAATCAACAAGGGTATTTTATCTGATAAGCTTTCAAATTCAACAAGGGTACATTGAAACGCACTTTGCTGCATGGGAACAACGGGAAAGGATATAATGAGAGAATACAAAATGGTTCAAATATTATAATTATCTATTAAATCCACGACAAACAAACATACCCCACAAATTTTAAAACTATTGTTTAATGTAGCGTAATTTTCGTGGTACAATTTCAGCATACAAAATTTCCAGCTCTTTTCCCCTCTTATTCATTAGCCAATTTTCAAATCCAATACCAAAGTACACTGTAGCATTGATAGTAACCACTACGCTAAAATGACCAAGCCAAGTGATATACAAGTCCATCAGATGCGTCAGAAAAAAGATTTCTGAGTCCGATTGTACTTTCTATTGGTATAAATGCAAAATAGGAAGTCACGTAACAAAGAAGACATGATGAAGCGATGAAAATCTCTAGATAATACTTACACTATCAACTACAACAACATCAACAGAACCACTTCTGATGAGAGTATCCACAAGACTGAGAGCCTGCTCACCACAGTCTGGCTGTGAAAGCAACAAATTCTCAGTTTTTACGCCAATAGATTCTGCAAGAGCCGGATCAAGAGCGTGTTCTGCATCTACAAAGACACAATAGGCTGCACAATGGAAATAAGGGTAGTAGAGTGAGTAGAATAAATGACAATTCTCAACCCAAACGGTTTTATGTAGACATAAATCGATCGAAAAATATCCTTACTACAAACAGATTTTCTAGAAACATATTATGCAATGCACACAAACAAAAAAGGCCACATTACCTCCATATTTTTGTGCTTCAGCAATTACATGAAGAGCAAGAGTTGTCTTTCCTGATGCCTCTGGACCATATATTTCTACAACTCGGCCCTGCATGATACCTAGATAAGTTAGTTTCCTATAAATTCCAATCTAATGTAAGGGAAATAAATTATATAGAGGACTTCCCATAAATTCCAATCTAATGTAAGGGAAATAAATTATATAGAGGACCACAATAACTAGGACTGTATTCTAGAAAAATATAAGGAACTATGCATCAACTTCATGTCAACCCCATTGCTACCTTTGGAAGTCCACCAATTCCCAATGCCAAGTCCAGAGAAAATGATCCAGTAGACACCACAGGTACATATCTAGGACCAGTACAACGACCAAGCCACATGATTGCCTCGTTTCCAAATGAGGATGTTATTTGATCCAATGCTGCTTTTAAAGCAACTTCTTTATCCGACAACTTATCTTCACTAGAATCACTACCATCAGATTTAGATTTCTTTTTCCCTTCAACAAAAAAAGGTGAACAGTTTTATTTGTTCATGCTCAAACACATGTCAATAAGACATAGCCCTTCGAAAGGAAAATAATAACATGAAAATGCTCATATAAAAAAAGCGGCTCAAATTTTATGAAGCAACATCAGTATATGCGTGTTTGTGTAGGAAGCAATAATTATCAATTTCTGAAATAGAAAAAGTGTTTCATCCAGAAGTTAATGGAGTAAAATACACCAAATGCTCAAGCAAGAAAGATGTTTGACAATAAAGATAAACTACTCCTCAGGATTGCCTTTGATTGCCATGGAAGCATTGATTAGGGAAGCAAGACACCCACCTAGGTCAACTTCCCTGTAACTAAGGTTCTCTATAGCTTGATTTAATAAATGCATGCATTTAGTCTTGTTCTGTCTTCATTAACAGCTTTTCAGTTCACAGCAACTGCAAATTTACAATAAAGGGGGAAAAAAGGTGTAATACTGGAGACCAAAATCTGCAACAACGCATAATCCACAAATTCGGTTTGGTAGTTATCAAAAAGATAACAATGCAAAGTTACAGGGAAGCTTGATCAAATGCAAAAACATCTACAATTGGCTGCTCCATTTTTCTTGGTAATTCTCTTACTTCTCAGAAAAAGAATAAGATGGCATTCTAAACAACTACAAAGAACATGAGAGAGGATTGCTCATGCTTTTTTGACATATCATGGGATTTGGTTTTCATATTCTACCATATCCATGGAGACATGACTAGTGATATCTACATTGTTTTGATTCCTGTACATGACAGGGATAAATGTTTGTTTTCATTTCATTTGAGAGAGGATTACTAGCCCCATGTATGTGTATACATTATACATATGTGCTAGTATGTTCACATCCTACATTTTAGAGCACATCTCTAAATGCATGTGTACAAGCTTTGTATGCACATATGTACCAACATTTATGGATATGGTATCAAGAAGAAAAATAACACTCCATATCAAGCAAAGCTGTTGAAGATAAAGAGCAGTGGAATGTAACAAAAGCAAATTAGAAAATAAGTCGGTAGATATAACTCACCTTTTGCAGCAAAGTTGCGAAGTTGAAATGTACCACCCACAATTCCCCTCACAGAAGCCTACCATGTGCACAAATTGTAGGGATTAAATATATCAGTAATGACAACTCACTCAAGGATCAAGGCATTTGGCTTCTTTTTATGTATTTGGGAAATATCTCAAAATACTACTACCCGCAATTCCCCTCATAGAAGCCTACCATGTGCACAAATTGTAGGAATTAAATATATCAGTATTAACAACTCACTAAAGGATCAAGGCAATGGTTTCTTTTTATTTATTTGGAAATGTCTCAAAATATCCATTAGAGATGCAACTATTTAGCATTTTACACTTTTGGTACTCTTCCAACTCATCATGTGCTTTTCATGGGTATTTTCAAATTGAAATCAGACAATACAGGTACAATGTTAAATAATTCATCTCACAAGGCTATTTAGGCACATAGAATTAGTTGAGAATCAAGAGATTGATCCTGCTAGAGTTTATCAACATATTGAATTAGGTTTTTCCTTTACATATGGGTTTGCATTGGTTTTAACAAAATAGAAGGGGCTTAGCATAAAGTCTTCATAGAGCAAAGTTGCGTGATGAAAAAGCATCTCCAATTCATGAGTTAGGTCTCATGGCATTTCTTTTTTGGGTAGTCCAGTGGGGAAGGATCCCCTAATTGTGGCATTTCTCTGTTCCTATAGTTAAATAATGTTACTCAGCCGGAATGCTGCTCCGGACTGCCGATTCTGTCGAACTGGACCAGTTTTTCAGATGGGCGATCTGGGTCACTGATCCATTTCTTTAAACCTCGATCCTATCTATAGAAAAAATGAAATCAAATTCCATTTGATTTTATTATTTAACTTTAGGAACAAAGACATAATAAAAGACAAAACTAATGTGTGAGTATTTTTTTGTATTCAAATGGAGAAGAAACAAGTGGGTGGTTTAGTGACATTATTTTTTCTCTACTCGAGTCTCAAACCATTACTTCATTGGTCAGCAATGAAAATAACTCCAAAATAATTAGGATCCCCTAATTGTGGCATTTCTCTGTTCCTCTAGTTAAATAATGTCACTCGCCCGGAATGCTGCTCCGGACTGCCGATTCTGTCGAACCAGACCAGTTTTTCAGATGGGTGATCTGGGTCACTGATCCAGTTCTTTAAACCTCGGTCCTATCTATAGAAAAAATGAAATCGAATTCCATTTGATTTTATTATTTAACTTTAGGAACAAAGACATAATAAAAGGCAAAACTAATATGTGAGTATTTTTCTGTATTCAAATGGAGAAGAAAGAAGTGGGTGGTTTAGTGACATTATTTTTTTCTACTCGAGTCTCAAACCATTACTTTATTGGTCAGCAATGAAAATAACTCCAAAATAATTAGGATCCCCTAATTGTGGCATTTCTCTGTTCCTATAGTTAAATAATGTCACTTGGCCGGAATGCTGTTCCAGACTGCCGATTCCGTCGAACCGGACCAGTTTTTCAGATGGGCGATATGGGTCACTGATCCATTTCTTTAAACCTCGGTCCTACCTATAGAAAAAATGAAATCGAATTCCATTTGATTTTATTATTTAACTTTAGGAACAAAGACATTATAAAAGACAAAACTAACATGTGAGTATTTTATTGTATTCAAATGGAGAAATAACTCCAAGAAACAAGTGGGTGGTTTAGTGACATTATTTTTTTTCTACTCGAGTCTCAAACCATTACTTCATTGGTCAGCAATGAAAATAACTCCAAAATAAGCAATTGCCATCCAATTAGAAGCATATTTCCCAGTGTTATGAGACTGGCAGAGTCCGAGTACTCGGCCCTAAGTTGTATGTACAACTCAGGATACATAAAAAAAATTTTAAAAAAAATCCAAAAGTTGTGAAAAAATATGGGAATGTTGTATAAATTTTTTGTATACGATTTGGGAGTGTTTTTGGCAAAGATTTCCCATAATCCCTATGTTACATTTTCCTTCTTTTTGGGTTTTATTAAAATATCCCAAATTAAAAATCAATTTCTTAAAAACCATTTTTTATACTTTTTTAAGCTTATTTGGATTTTTTAAGATTGGTTTTGTTTTACTTTATTTTTACTACCTTTATTTTATTCTCTTCATATTTTCTATTTAAAAAAAAATCCGGGACTTTTGGCCTTGGGTCAGTCCATCCAGACTTGCCCCAGTAACTCACCTCGGCTACGGGCCGAGTACCTGGCCTGAGGCAAGTTCCTAACATTGGTGTACCCTAAGTGAAAGAAGTGACAAAAGGCCAGTTGGTTTATCCAGTTATCCTTTTGTTGCACCTAAGGTGGAGAGATCAAAGGCCCAGAAGAGCAGGTAATAGTAATTCATAAGTAGCAAACTAGGCATTATTCCGACAACTCAAGATGGTAGAGAAAAGAGTTTCCGTAACATAGACATAAAATTGACAGAATTTAGGTTTACTTGACATCAAGGAGCGCAAGTTCTCATCTTAGTAGCATTTACTTACTCACTGAGATTGTAACCTCAAACTCATAATAGAGTTCAACTGGGACCAGAATACAGTTCAATAATACACAGTATGCACGCAGTTTCCTGCAAGACATGCATTTCCTCATAATTCATAAGCAGGAAAACTAAGCATTTATCCGACAACTCAAGATGGTAGAGAAAAGAGTTCTCTAACATAGACATAAAATTGACAGAAATCTAGGTTTACTTGACATGAAGGAGCACAAGTTCTCATTTTAGTAGCACGTACTTACTCACTGAGATTGTAAGCTCAAACTCATAATACACTTCAACTGAAACCTGAATACAGTTCAATAATAACCACTATACACACAGTTTCCTACAAAACATGCATTCCCTCCATAGTTTTATCACTCTAGTATCATAAAAGGAGTTTCTCAACCTAAAACAGGTGACGACTCTGATCACTTGAAAGAGTGTCTCTATCTAAAACAGAGGACACTAGAATGCATAACACTGGTATCCGGATAATATTGATATACACTACTCTTATTTATGATTTCAAACAGGGAAAGAAGAGGAAGAAGAAGAAGGAAAAAAAATACCTCGTGTGAGAACAGAGAGTACTTGTACCAAGCGTTTCTTAGAAGCCTGGCCATGGCTCCTCTCTGAAAATCGATACCAGAAACCCAATAAAGTTGTTTGAACGGATTCTACATTTTCTCCATTATTTTTGGTGGCATTTTCTGAAAGGTTTTCTCAGGGTTTTGCAGAGGCGCTTGTTCAGTTTTTAGGGTTTTCATTTTCCCTCCATTTGAGCTTTGCCCTTCTTCATGGTCGAAAAGGGAGGGTTTTGTCACTAGGGTTTCGGTCCTTGTCACTCAACGGGGAGTAGTATATCTACCCTCGGTATTCTCTAGATTTCTCACAAATGGCCTCACCTCTAAAATCCTTTTAAAAATGTTGTTTTGATTTTGAAAAAATATTTAATTGATCAAACTTGACATCAATATATTTAGATATAGAGAAAAAAAAAAATTAAATATGAAAAATAATGTATCTCGTAACACATTGTCTGGAATATCTATTTTTTGGATTTTCATATGTCTATAGATTTGTTTGATTTGAACTTAGGTTTACAGATTTTACAATTGAAATAAAATTAGATTCTCACACTATCTTAATAAATATTTACACCAAAATTGCATCTTATGATAAAGTTTGGAAGCGCACTTTAATTTGATTGTTTAAAATTGTAACCTTATACAAATCACACCCATAATAAAAGTTTAGTGTAGTTTTCGATACCTACCACTAAACTACCCTAAAAGAAATAATGAACTGAAAAGTAAAATGCATATCCACATCCTACCATAAGACGTAGTTTCAGTGTAGAAAATATCTAAGATTTCCAAAAAATTATTTGAACTATTAATTATGAATTTTAAAACTCCAAAATTGGTGTAGATGAAGTAAATCTATAAGTTTTCTAAAATATCAAAAATATATCTAAATAATATTTTACATGATGTATTAGTTTTAGAACTTGAGATCTATTTTATTTTCATACCCATACATCCCGAGATTGAAATGATCAACTATAAGGTTTTTTAAAAGGTTTATATAATTTTTTCTATTAAAAAAAGACTCAAATTAATATAAAAGTGATATAAGAAATATACTCAAAATTCATTCATTTAATGGGAATTTCTTAGCTTTAGATTTTACATAAAACTATTATGGTCCTAACCAAAATTAAAATCGATGTAACACAGGCGTGTTTAAAATTTTTGGCATGCGGTGACACATCAAGGAAGCAATGCTTTTGTTTGATACTTTATAAATCAGAGCATTTCTTATTAAAATTACCTTCTTGAAATATCACTATAAGATTTATTTAATTTTATACAAAATTTTACATTTCTATTATCTAAATTAAATATGAAATTGTATTTGAAACCCTAATTTTGACGTTGACATTTTTAACGTATTAGGGTCGTTTGGCAACCAAATTTGCTTGCCAGATACGAAAATTCTAAGAAATTGGCACTTTTCAGTTTGGTAATGGGAAATGCTATAGTAACATGACGACCACATTTATAAAAAATGAGAAATCTAGACTTTCATCACCCCCATGGAAGAGTCAATTGCTTGAAAAAATACGGATTTTTCAGTTTTGGATTATTTTGTTATTTTAAAAAATTGTAAAAATCTTTATATATATATATATATATATATAT